AACATTAAAATGTGATTAACTTACGAGGAACTTGACTTCGTGCGGGAAGCGTAAAATTTCATTCATATTTTATCGCTAATAACCGATTGCTAATCTTTTTATTTTTTTTAAACTATAAAATACGACGTTTCTATTTTTGTCGTTTAAAAATTTATTCATAATTTAGTGAAGAAACTTGAAAAAAACATTTTATTCATCGAATGTCGAGTTTCATAAAAGCATGCTTCTGATAGAATATTATTATACACTAGATTGTGCTTATTTAACGTGATTATATTTTATTTTTTAGTTTCTTTTCTCAATAATTAATACAATTTCAAAAATATATATACCTATGCATAGATTTGGAATAATATATTTATCAATTTCTTCAATATATATTTTATAATTACTAATACGAATACGTAGTTAACATTTTTAAGCATCTTAAAATTTCTCAACATATTATACATCGTCTTAATCTTAAAATACATTTTTTAATCAACTCTCAGGGAGTGTTTCGCCAAACTATTTTACCAACTATTTAATTAAATTCTAACATTTTTAAAAATCTTATTCTTTACGCTACTACGCATATTATTTCTTTATTAATATACATACTAATCTATTTTTATAGTTCTTTAATTTAGGTTTTCTTTAAAGTAAAATTCCTTTTAAAATTATTGTCAATTTTTTTTAAAAGAAAACCTTGAATTATTGCCGCTAGAAAGAAACCTTGCTAAGAAATTAAAAACATTCTGCTGTTTAAAATTATTTGATGCAAAACAGCTGACTATTTGCTGAGCATACTACTTTTTTCGAAAAATAAATATAAATTATTGATTTTTTTTTCACTGTTTCTTGTAACTTCAACATAGATTACCTAAAATAGTGTTGATGCTTTATAAGTCACTACAAAGAGTATATCTTACGTAAAACTTATTTTAATATCGACTGAAGGTATAAGTAATAATCTAAGTAGTCTTTTTATTTTAAATTATTGCTGCTTTTTGATAAAACTAAAGTAAATATGAAAAATTGCGTAATATATTCACAATTTTCATAAATGGAGATAAAAATTAATTGGAAATAATACAGAAATCTCTTGCGTAAATTTTTATTAAAAAAAAATTAAATAGTTACTTTTTTTTCCTCCATTCCAAAAGATTGGTTCCTTTTTTTTTCTTACGCTTACTGGACAAATCCAGCCTTTTATTTCACTTTGAAAAAAAAAAATTCACAGCGTCCCATATTAGTAATCTGCAACAAACTTTCCTTGACAAAATATATACATGAAATACAAACGGGAAATGTAAGCGAATGCACAGAAGTCATAAATCACATTGAAAGCTGGCTGCAATCTCCTGCGGTGCAAAGTGTAATTTTCGCTGTGGGTAATTCTGTTGAAAAATGTTTTAGAAGGGGAAGGAAAGTTTGAGTCTGATGATCAGAATTATTGAAACTAATTTACGTAATTTGCATTAAACCTAGAATTAAAATATTAATGTTGTTGTTGTTAACGTATGCCTGTTTAGGCAGGGGGTGCGATTGTTCTTGTTTCCCAGTGGCGCCATCTTTGGTCAAGAATTTGACTTCTGCCACACCCATACGTCACACCCGTTTGTAGGGCGGACCCATTCATTCATCCATTCGCATATCGTAATTTTGACTTGAATCAGAGAACGATCGATCTCCAATCCAGTACCCCCAGAGATATTGATTTGTTATGGTAACATGGAGGACTTTTGCGACTCGACTTATTTAACGTGCATCAGTCACCATTTACTACATGGGGAAGTCTTCGGTCGGTGGGGTTTGAACCCACGAACTCTTGGACATAGGCCCAACTCCCTACAGACCAGGCTACTAGGCCCTAAAATATTAATCTTAGGTTAAAGAGAGTTTCTTAAGCTTTTAATCCAGCTTAAAAACATTTTCCAAAAATGCTTAAAATAAGCTTGTAAATACGGCTTATCTCCTAAATTTCAAGTCTTTTTTAGAACACGTTAGTATTAAAAAAGTTTTAAAAATACATAAAATCTGCCAACTAAAAATTTTGTAACTAAGCTTAATAGTAGACATTCCAAAGCGTAAAATGAGACAAAAAAAATTCCAAAATATTAATTAGTTAATAAATAAAGAGTCATCTAAGAATCATATAATTCTTCATAGGATAACACAGGGGTCGGGTAAAGTAGAATCTCACTCCCAAGATGCCCTTCTATGGAACAGCGTGCTTGTAGCTTTGTCTTTGTAGCGTTAATCATACTCACTTAACGCAAATATACGTAGCATCTGAAATAAAGCACGCGGAGTTGATTTAAATCCTGTTTACGGGGGAACGTACGGAAGCCAGCTTAAAAAGTGCTAAATCCCAATATTATTAATTTTTTTTAAATTAGCTGAATGGCCGTTAGCCGTACGTAAACAATTTATAAATCAGCACTGAGCAACACTACGAATTCTGCTCCAGACCAACACGTGATGTTTAAAAGGCACCACAATGTGCGGTATTTGTACAGTAAATGTAGTGTACAGTACAAAGTAAATGTACAGAATTTGTACAGTTTTACAAGAACACGTGAAAGAAACAAGTGGCAACAGATTTTCTCGTGAAATTCGTTTTACTTATAGTTATATATTTGATGCCTATTAAATCTGCAATTAATATCATAATCCCAGTTTTTGTTTTTTTAGTACGTAGTTTATATTATTATTTCAGTTAGTACCTATGAAGAATATTGATTGAACATCATCGAAATCAAGTATAGCGTAGTATATTTTTTTATTTCTCTTATACGATTTAGAATCATTGCTCTTTTAATTTTACTTTACAGTACACAGCTTTATTTTTTTTTAATTTCAATTATTTTATATGAGCCGTAGTGGTTGAAGGGATAGGCCGCACGTAATGGGGTGACCCTGATTCGAATCTCAGCGTCGGCTGCTTGATACGAATTCCGCACCCGGCTTGCACCAACCACAGTGCTGACGCAAAATATCTTGAGTAGTAGATGGATCATGGGTTAGAATCCCCTCACCGTCAGGCTAACCATGGGAGATTTTCGTGTTTTTTTTTCTCCATGTAACTCAAATAAGAGTTAGTTCCATCAACAAGTCATGCACGAAAACGAATTCTCCCAATACTTGATCCAGGAATTTTCTTGTCTTCTAGATTAGGTTCAAAATTACAGGGCTACGTAGTTGACCACTGGTAGGCGCAAAGTCAAAATTGGGTCGGCTGTTCTACGACTTTTAAAAAAAAGAAAAAAATGTTTAGTTTATACTATCAAAATTAATGGAATGTCATTGGCATGAAAAATAGTATGTTGATGTTTACTTTTCTTTTTAAACGAATTAGTACAGTTTCTACACAAATTTTTATTTTTAGTATATAACGGATTCAATTTGTATTTATTAGCAAAATTAAGGATGATTGGTATCATTAAGAATTTGGCGATTTCTTGCGCTTCTCTTTTAAAATTAATGCGCATTTCTCCATTAATTTAGTTCTTAGTTGAAAGCTTATTTTATTTTTATTTCAAATAATACTTGATAACAAAATTAATTAAGCATCATTACTGTTATAAAATAGTAAAGCGTTTTTTTACGTTCCGCCTGTCACGAATTAATACTATTTCTTTATCAATTGTGATTTTCAATACCTATTTATTTTTATTCCAATTACTGTTTCTGAATTATTTAGTTTTATAGAAATACGTTTTAAAAACAGGACACCTGGATATCTTTAGGACAACTAATTTCGTAACGTATTGTGCCTATGTTACTACTTTCATTTATCATACTTGAGTTTATTTGACATAAGGAATATAAAATAATTAAATGTTTAATAGCGTGCAATAAATTCCTATGAGTTATAAACTAGCCAACAAGACTTTTGTTATATTAGAAATATTTCGAAAAAAAATAAAGAAACAGAATCGTCTGAAGCAGTATATTTTTTTTATCGATTTCTAAATAAACAAAAAATTTCCATTTTCCAAAACTTCTCTTTCAGACGAAATATAGTAAATAGTTATAGTTTGGCAATATAGTAAAATAACAATTGGATAAACTGTCATTTCAGATTTTCCCCCAGAAAAGTTTATCTGTGTAGTATAAATAATAACCTCATAAGGCAGTGAAAGCGATAAAAGTCATTATTCATGAAAATTAGATTTATTGTATTAGGAAATTGTTATTTTTCTATGTTTTTTTTAAAGAAAAGAAAAAAGTTTTGCAGTTCATTTTTTTCATTTATTTTCATATTTCATATTTTGCCTCAAAACAACAGGTATCTCAAATAGGGTCGACCTATTGTACACTTTCAGAATTAAATACAAATTGAATAAAAAGTTAATAAAGTATTAACTAATGCGGGCAATAAATGAAGACAATTCAAATAAAAATTTATTGCGAACGGCTAAACAAATGACTTCGACTGCTTCATTTTTTGATGAATATTATTATTCTATCATAATTCTTTCCAATTTATTCTATTCTAATTTCTTATTAATTCTTTCTTTAAGTCTTTCGATACTCATATTATTTTATCATGAATATTATTATTTTGACCTCTAACTTTTTTTGAAAAATTTTTAAGGATCGTTATCATGTGGATTGTAAAAAATAACAATTTAATCACATTTTAGTTATTGTAGCGTACATTTAATCTAATATAATAAATATTCTACATTTATACAATATATTGTCTAATTTATCCAATAGTCGAATTTATATTAAATATCGTCTAATTTAACCCATCGATGCACGAAGGTAAACAACTGCAAACCGGTTTCAGTCGCGTAAAGCCAATAAAGCTGTACAATATCAACTAATAACTAAGCTTTTACATTTTGACGTTATTTTTAAATGTATTATTTGATTCACATGTTTACTATCTGTTACACTGTCCCTCGAAAAAAAATGAACTAGAACCAAGTGCAATTGAAAGAATATTTCTGTCGCATGAATATAAATGCTTAAAAATCCTGAAATAATGAATGTTTTTTTCCTTCTAGGTGAGCAACATGTTTATCATGAGCCTAGCAGTGGCTGATCTTACAGTGGGTCTCGTTGTGATGCCTATCAGCTCGGCCTATGTCCTCATGGGAAAATGGCGATTCGGACTGGCCGTATGCCAGTTTTGGTTGTCAGCCGATTACTCGGCTAGCACAGCGTCCATCCTCAATTTACTGGTGCTCAGTCTGGACAGGTACTGGTCGATCTCCCGACCTCTGGAGTACCTGAGGAGGAGGAGTAAAAAACGTGCACTAGTTGTTATTACAATTGTGTGGATTGGTTCCTTCCTGTGGTTAGTTCCTATCATTGGCTGGCATCAATTTTTCGCAGATGGTGTAAGAAAGCAACCTACGGATGTCTGTGAGGTGATTATGATTATTTTTTAATGTATTCAACCTTTCTTCTGACTCATTGAATCTCCCTAATTGAACTGATAAATAATCATCGAAATCTATAACGGTATGTCATCTTATTGACCAGGCTTTGTTGTGTCGAAGTAAATAAAATTTAATTGAAAAGAACTTTTAAAACTCAAAAATGTTTTATTAAAATATATGTACGCTTCGGTGTCCAGTTTGGTACATTTACATCAGTTGGATAAATGGCAAGAATCAGAAGTGATGCCATCCAAAAGAGGTTATGTGACATTAAGGAGACACAAATAAAGATACAGTTGAAGGTGACACCATTCATTTGGCAAAAGGTGTTAGGAAAAAAATTAATGATTTTTCAATTATTTGAAAAATATGGTATAGCAGCCAAAATCTTTAAAACTAGACCCAGATACCAAAATAAGGTTTATTTCCACTCAACAAAAACCTTTTAATGTAAACCTAAAGAGGTTTGTAATACGGTTTACGTGTAAACCTTCTAACCTTAACACGAGATCTGTGATCATCTGCTCTCTTCTGCGCACATTACCATAATCCAAAACCTTGAAAAACAACCTTTTGCATAAAATCCTCAAATCGAGGTTGTGTTAGGGTTTTCAAGGGTGAAATTAAAATCCTTTCATAGAGCTAGTCTCAAGGTGAAAATAATCTTAAATCTTGGTTGTTATTATAAGGTTTCTTTTCGCAAAGTCTTATTGTTGCTCAACTAAAATCCACCTTGCCCTTTATTGTTGCTCAACTAAATCCCTTTAGGATGAAAGGTTTGAAATTGCAATATTTTTGCTTTATTGAAACAAGGTTTTTAATACAAACATTTTCGTGACAATAAAAAAGAAAATTCTGACACAAGGATTACCATATAAGGTTGCATGTTTCCTGGGAGAGTTTTTGCTTTCAATGAAGTGGAATCTCTCCCAGAAGTTCAGGTCATTTGCGTGAGATACATTTACGAAAGATATGACGAAAAATCAAACCTATATCCGGTCTGTAATCTAACCGGCTATTCTTTGCAATAGATGAACGGCTAAGCCGAGGTTACGTCAATTCTCTTTAGTGTTTACATCCGGTTTTACCACATCTGTCATTCATCTTATTGATGAAGTTGTTCCGATTTGAAACCGGAACGCGTATAAGTTTTGATGAACAAAATATTACGATTTGTAATCCTTTTTTTTAATGAAATTTTATAGTATCATTAATAACTTCGCTCATAATTTTGTCTAGTTGAGAAAACCCTTGTTAGTGCACTTCTTGTTTTACAGAAAAATCAAGGAACCGTGTTAGCCTAGTGTTTAAAGAATCCTATTCCAGATTGTAGGGGAAGAGGTTCAATCCTCGACTCCGCTAAGAGTATATGCGATATACGTGCTATGGAACCGAAAGCCCTGGGTAGTTAAGCATCGCCATGGGTTCTGGAGAAAATTTACTTCCCCTTCAGATCTATGTCTAAATTAGGGAAATGGACTCACGAATCAGTGAAGCTATTATCTATTTGTAGGGTACTGAACCAAGATACACTTTCACCTTTGCAGATCTCGATTGTCAAACTATAGGTGACTGACTTAATTCGACAGGCCAATGGCTGGCACACTAGCTAGCATGGAAAAATCAATGAGCTATTTAATTAACTTTTAATGAATTACATGTTCAAATATTTTAGCCGTGGTGTCGCTGGGGATAGAGCACTCGCCTTCCAATGCGGGGAACCGAATTCGAATCCCAGCGATGGCTGGTCGATATGAATTCCGCAACCAGCTCGCGCGAATCACAGTGATGATCTAAAATATCCTCAGTGGTGGACGGATCATAGGTTAGAGTCATCTTGTTGTCTGCCCGTAGAAGGTTTTCGTGGTTTTCCTTTCCATGTAACGCAAATGTGGGTTAGTACCATCAAAATGTCTTTCACGAAGGCAAATTCCTCACAAATGCTTGATCTGGGAGTTCCCTTGTCTTCTGGATTAGGTTCAAAACTTTAAGGCTACGGAGTTAACATAAGAAATTGTTAACTCACAATTGGGTCTGCTGTTCAAAGACGGTTATTATATAAAACAAAATCTCCAAATATTTAATTGCATAAAAATTTAAAACATTAACATTCGTAGATTACCGTGATTTTTGAATAATTCTTGCACAAGTAGTTAAAAGTGATGAAATGTTCACTGTTTAAAAGAAAGAAAAAAAAAGAAGAAAAAAAAAGAAACTTTACAATGATGCTTATCACTTTAAAAGGGGCGAATTTCAAATAAATTGTAAACAGAATAATACAAATTAACATACCTTGTAGACTCTTGATTTAATTTCCTTTTAACTATGTGTCTAGACTTCATTTTGTTTTAAAAATAAATAAATTTTCCGCTTTAGTTATAATTACAATTTAAATGTTAACACACTTTGTCTGTATCTATGTGTCCCAATTTAGCAGCTACATATCGTTTAACTTTGAATTTCTACAACAAAGACATAAGCAGTTTAATAAAATAATGAGTTTAATAAATTGTCGAAATTCTAAATGATTCTATAAATGCTTACAAGCGTTTAATTGTTTTAATTGGATGCTTTAATGAAAATATACATCATTAGATTTTATGGAATTTTCAAAAATTGTTATAAGGTAAATAAAATATTTCTATAATAATATATATAACAATATTTTAATAAACTCAAAAAATATCATTTTAAAATGAAATATTAAAGGCTTAAATTAAGAGGCGATGCCCCCCCCCCCCGGCTTCGGTATCCCGACGACCTGAGTGCGAAGTTGGGCATTTTGCAGTTTGCCGGACACCGATGCCGAACCCTCGGTCCGAACACAGGCTGACCGAAGTTGGTCAATCACCTGCTTACTGACCGCGGCTAGAGTTGCTGGATTTCAGATTTCTTTGATTAAAAATATCATATGTAAGTAGATAATATATGTATTATTTTGAATTTATATATACACTATTTTACAATAATGGAAGAGTTCAGTCATTGGCCATATATATATATATATATACATATATATATATATATA